GATTGATTGATTGATTGATTGATTGATTGATTGATTGATTGATTGATTGATTGATTGATTGATTGATTGATTGATTGATTGATTTATATCCCGCCCATCTGGTATATTCTACCACTCTGGGCGGCTCAACTGATCAAATCCATGAATTTTATATGACTAAAAGTTGCACATAAATGAATTTGCATGCAAAGTTGCATATAAAAGTTACATAGAAAGAAAGCAAAACAGCAGACTTCCTCCTATTATAATAGCATAGTGAATCTGCAAATTATATAGAATTTGCAGATTCACGTTAATCATCATCATCATGCATTGTCAAGGCAATTCTGACTTATGGTGACACCTTTTCAGGGTTTTCTAGATAGAGAGTATTCAGAAGTGGTTGACCCTTCCCTTCTTCTGAGGCCACCCTGGGACTCTGGAGATTGTCCAAGGCCACACAGGCTGGCTTTACTCACATGAGGCACAGGAGGAAATGAACTCCTTCTCCCTACAAGAATGGAAATGCCTCTTTGCAAATGGTAATCTCTGTTCACATATTTCACAAGTACTTTTTATTAATGATTACAATTTTAACTGTCAAAGAAAAAAACTTATCCTTCTGGCAGGGAAATCCATTGAATGAGATCATGGAACATGGTGTTGGCTATGCAAAACGCATTGGCAAAGCAGCTACCATGTTCTCTAGACTCACAAAGAGAGTATGGCTTAATAAAAAGCTGATGGCATATACCAAGATCCAGGTCTATAGAGCCGGTGTCCTGAGCATACTCCTGTACTGCAGTGAGTCCTGGACCCTTTGTGCACGGCAGGAGAGGAAGCTGACCAGTTTCCATATGCATTGCCTCCAATGTATTTTTGGTATCACCTGGCAGGACAAAGTTCCAAATAGAGTAGTCCTAGAATGAGCTGGAATTTTCAGCATGTATACATAACTGAAATAGCGATGTCTACGTTAGCTTGGGCACACCGTGAGAATGGCTGATGGTCGGATTCCAAAGGATCGCCTGTATGGAGAATTAGTGCAGAGAAATCGCCCCAGTGGGAGACCACAGCTGCAATACAAGGATATCTGTAAGCGGGATCTGAAGGCCTTAGGAGTGGACCTCAACAGATTGGAAACCTTGACACCTGAGCATTCAGCCTGGAGGCAGGCGGTGCATCATGGCCTCTCCCATTTTGAAGAGATACTTGTACAGCAGGCTGAGGCAAAGAGGAAGTCCCGAAAGCAGCAAAATCAGGGAGCTGGATAGGGGACAGATTGTCTTCAATGCGGAAGGGATTGTCACTCTCGAATTGGCCTTCTCAGCCACACTAGACGCTGTTCCAAGTCCTCTATTCAGAGCACATTACCATACTCTCGAGACTGAAGGATGTCTAATCTAACAATTTCAAGATGTCTGTTCTCAGATTAATCATGGGACCTTTTTAATCAACTGCAAGCCTTCAGATTATTAATCTAATCAATCTGTCAGTTAAGCACTGCACTTCTACCTCCCCAAATCTTTTGGCCACAAATACGTAAGGCTCCAAACAGACATCAAAGATTGCCTTTAGTTTGAGCTGAAAGCCATTTAGTCTTACAGCGGAGTGATTAAGCCAATCTTCGGAGGCTTCAAAGGAATCCCATGCTTAAATATTAAGGAAAAGAAAGCTAATTTCTACACTCCCAGGTGTGAGAGGAGCTCCTACTATGACACTAGATACGGTCTTTAGTTAAGGACTTTCCCCTTCAAATAACTGCCTGCCACTAACCTCTTTTTCAGGCCTGAGATGAACTTTAAAAAAGGGGAAAAAAAACCCAACTCCCATGGAAGTAAAATTTGAAACTGGAGTCAGAAATGTATAATTAAATATATTTATTGTATTAATTGTATTTGTACTTATTTGCCAGATCAGAAAGGATGCCCTGGTCATTTCCCCACACAGCTAAATTCTGTTTATATGTTTTTCTTAGGATTTTGTGACACCTTCAACATTGACACAAAGAAACCACGAATTATACCAGGGTCTAAGGAAGCATATTTTGGCTATACAGTTCAACAGCATGAAATCAATGGGAAGAAATGGTAAATTTATACCTCTTTGTTCCTGTACTGAATGTACAAATTATGATGTTATTTCCTATGTTCATGGTAAAAACATATGTTTAATTATGTCATATTGTTCCAGAGCAGAGCCTAATATATGTTCTGTTTCGTTATGAGATAATATGAAATGAACAACTGAAATGTGAAATGCTAAAATAGCAATCTTGTACCTGCTCGCATGAGAATAAGTCCCACTAACCTGTAGTGTACTTACTTTTGAGTAGACATTTACAGGACTGAATATAAATGTTGCTCACAGGATGTAAGATTCCTAAAGATGAAAAAGAAAAAAAAACTGTTCAGTTTGTAATGAGTTAAAAATAGGTTGCCTTTAAAGGAATTGTGTGGAATGGCAGGAGGAAGGGACTCAAGCCCCACATGACTAGGTTTGATCAAAACTGGACCAAAATGATCAAGCAAAATTGGACAACTCTCATATAGTCGAGCACAGACACAGCAATAAACAGTTGGAAGTGTGCTAAATAATCAAGCACTCTCCCACAAATAACTAAATATAATAATGAAATTATGTTAGTTTTATTCTTATCAATTTTGTAATATTTCATTCAATATTTTGTAAGTGTTATTCATAGTAATCGCATTGTAAGCAAGAGCCAGCTAAAGTTACTTTGGCATCCCACCAAAATTTGTCCCTCTTCTAGGCAGTGAAAATACAGTACAGCAATATAACTAATAAGTAGCATGCCATTTTTGCTATTTCCAGACACTGAAATGTTAACATTATAAATGTCCCAGTCTTATATTAAGAATGTTAACATTACTGTTACTCCTACTATTACCCAGTACTATTATTAATATGATTTCTGAGCATTGATGGTGCATGGGAACATACCAAAAGGTCAAGCCTAAACATTAGCAATCAAGTCCTAAAAATTTGTGGGACTTGATTGCTAATGACTTGATTGAAATGACATGTTTGCAACTTCACTGATTTTTGCATTTCATGAAGCAAATTAGCAGCTATTGGCAATTGTTTTAAATTGGTAACTAAAGGTTTTGGAACTGCAGTTATTGAAATTAGTATAGGGAAGAGGATGACCTGATTTTGCTTCCATATTCTTTTAATTTCTTACTTTGCAAGTTTCGTACTTCATGTACTTTTGAGGTTGCTTGTTGATGAAACTCCAGTTTCTATAAGGTATGTTTTTCTTTATATTTTGTCCAAAAATATAATATCTAGCTTATCAAAAACAGCTGTTTTATCCATGATAACTTCCTTATCCCTCTACAATATTTTCTAAACTTGGAGATAGCTGGAATTTATAATAAGCAGGAACAAATATGAGTAATCCATAAGATTTAGCCAACTTCTAAAATGTGATTTTTGGAACTTGGCTATGTCTGCACATATAATCCATTGATGCTAGTTTAGTACATTTAGCTATGATATCATAAATTGTTTCTTTGGATTCATCGGAGAGCCTACACAGATCAGTTACACCTTGCTTTATAATTATTTTCTATAAAGGTCTAGTGTAAAAAACTTGATATTGGATTGTGCATGAAAATTCCTCAATTTGAGCATGAAGCTGGCCTAATCTTAACCACAAGTTTATGATTCAGACAGTAGCAGGGGTGATGCCCATATAATTGTTTCTCAAGTGATGCATTCCTGCGCTGTGGATCTATCATTAGTTCAGGTTCATTCTAATTTGCAAGTTGTAGTAATGTTAGTCCTTCATCATTTTCAGTAACTATTTGGTGAAGTGGAGCTACACTCCCATGGAAGTAGTTTCAAAGTCTTACTAATTGACCCATACAGAGATTCTAGAGATTGGTAAACCTTCACACACGCATGATCTGTGGCAAATATGGCACTCTTTACATGCCTTTGGATGATGGCACCAGTATTTTGACAGGAGGACTCAGGTTTTCCTATTTAAATCATGAAGATCACACTGTATAGTCAATCCACAATCCAAAAGAATGTGTTAATACCAGGGCCGCCGAGGTATTCGCAGCAAATATTTTTCCTTCTTGGATAACAACTTAGTTCCTTGTGGTATATATTAACATTTTCGCAGATGCCTAGATATTTATAGGTTTTCTGCTCCTGTAAATATTGAATAAACTGCCCACTAGTGAACTGATATTTCTGCTCCCTGAAAATTTGCCCCGTTTCATTTATCAACACCAAAGTTCATTTTGAAAGCTGTTCTGTAAGAATTACATGTAAGATACTGTTTAATTTATTGGGAGAGCTTGTAACAATTTAATATTATCCATATACATTAAAGGTGAAACATTAAGCTCATTTCTCTGGTAATTTGGTTTGTAGCCTTTAGTGTTTTCACTGAGTTGTCTAGACAAGGGATTTAAGGCCAGGCAGAATCACAAAAGGCGTAAAGAATCACCCTGAAAAATATATCTCTAACAAGTATACAGTGGTGCCTCAACTTACGACCGTCCCTACTTATGACCATTTCAAGTTACGACCAGCTCTGGCCGCAAAATTTTGCTTCGACTTGCAGCTGGAGCTTCCACTTAGAACCAGGAAAAGGTAGGGAAAGTGGTGGGAAATTCAAATGTACTAACCATTGGTGGTGAAGAGGCTGCTTCTTTGTAGCTTTTTTGCCCCAATGGTTAGGGAAAGGGATGCAGCGGCGAGGGAAGGCCCTGGCGAGCAGCTCCTGGAGCCGTGCCGGAACAGGAGGTGGCATTGGGCACTCGTGGCGGGTGAGGCACCTGCTGCTCAGAGACCCAGCAGCAGCAGCGGCATTGGCCCCACGGAGGACGGTGAAGAACACCGCTGCCACTGCTACTGCTGGGTCCCTGAGCAGCAGGTGGCTCGCCTGCCGTGGGTGCCTGATGCCACCTCCCACTCCAGCACTGGCACCGGCTCAGGCCTCGGCGCTCCTTGCCTCTCCTCGGTGCAAGGGTGGAGGGAGTCTCAATCCCGGCTCCTGGAGATGCCGCCGAAGGAAGCCTGCTAAGGTAAGATGCTGCTTTTTGCTTTTTTAAAACTGTTCTGGGTGGGTTTTGCAGGGTTGTCTTGGGCTGGGGGGTTATGTTTCTGTGCTGTGTTGTTTGTTTTTAGGTGATTTTTTTTTTTGCAGTTTCAGCGTGGGACTTGCTCTGTTTATTTTTGGGTTGTGTGGTTATTGTTTGTTTGTTTGTTTGTTTGTTTGTTTGTTTGTTTGTTTGTTTGTTTGTTTGTTTGTTTGTTTGTTTGTTTGTTTGTTTGTTTGTTTGTTTGTTTGTTTGTTTGTTTGTTTGTTTGTTTGTTTGTTTGTTTGTTTGTTTGTTTGTTTGTTTGTTTGTTTGTTTGTTTGTTTGTTTGTTTGTTTGTTTGTTTGTTTGTTTGTTTGTTTGTTTGTTTGTTTGTTTGTTTGTTTGTTTGTTTGTTTGTTTGTTTGTTTGTTTGTTTGTTTGTTTGTTTGTTTGTTTGTTTGTTTGTTTGTTTGTTTGTTTGTTTGTTTGTTTGTTTGTTTGTTTGTTTGTTTGTTTGTTTGTTTGTTTGTTTGTTTGTTTGTTTGTTTGTTTGTTTGTTTGTTTGTTTGTTTGTTTGTTTGTTTGTTTGTTTGTTTGTTTGTTTGTTTGTTTGTTTGTTTGTTTGTTTGTTTGTTTGTTTGTTTGTTTGTTTGTTTGTTTGTTTGTTTGTTTGTTTGTTTGTTTGTTTGTTTGTTTGTTTGTTTGTTTGTTTGTTTGTTTGTTTGTTTGTTTGTTTGTTTGTTTGTTTGTTTGTTTGTTTGTTTGTTTGTTTGTTTGTTTGTTTGTTTGTTTGTTTGTTTGTTTGTTTGTTTGTTTGTTTGTTTGTTTGTTTGTTTGTTTGTTTGTTTGTTTGTTTGTTTGTTTGTTTGTTTGTTTGTTTGTTTGTTTGTTTGTTTGTTTGTTTGTTTGTTTGTTTGTTTGTTTGTTTGTTTGTTTGTTTGTTTGTTTGTTTGTTTGTTTGTTTGTTTGTTTGTTTGTTTGTTTGTTTGTTTGTTTGTTTGTTTTTTACAGCTCCAGCACATTCCTATGCGGCTTACAGTGTTTTATTTTATTTTTATTTTTGGGTTGTTGTTTTTTGGCCAGAACTGATTAATCACGTTCCCATGCATTCCTATGGGAATGCATGCTTTGACCTACGACGATTTTGAGTTACGTCCATCTTCTGCAATGGATTATGGTCATAAGTTGAGGCACCACTGTATTATTAAAGCGGTTTCTGCACCTTAATTTTGTCACCAATTTTGTCATGAGTTTATACAGAAAAGCAATAATTCTACTATCAGATTTGTAGAGCCTCAGAATTTCAAGAAGCCATGAATGGGGCACACAATCAAATGTCTTTTGGTACTCAATATAAGCAACTGATGCATTTCTGGAGTTTCTTTGATTCTGATTCAGTATGAAAGGATCAATAGTGAGCAGTTCCTTGCAACCATATGACACTTAATACAGCTCTTCTGGTGGTCTAGTAGGATATGGTTGCATTTAAGAAACAATAAATATTTTGAGAAATAATTGATGTAAATTTTTCCTGCTTTGGAAAAAAATGCTTCTGGCTCATTCAGAATAAAACGCTCTGCAAATTCCATTTGGCGCTCTTCACATATTGAACATCAATAACCAGGTGCTTTTGTATTAAGCTTTGTTTCAGTTGGTTGAGATAGTCAGTTGAGCATACTGTAAAATTCTAAGCTTTATTTAGCTGTAGTGCTTCAAACTTGATGTCAAGCTTTTAAAAACAGATTCTAGGCACACCCTTCTTAAGACTACACCCTCCCTCTTCTACCATGGTGAAAAGCAATGGTTTCTCCAGTTTGGCCTTGAGGATCTTTTACATTTCAATCCAGTCTTAATTGGCAGGCACTTTTCCTTTCCTTCTTCACTTGTGTGTTACATGATCTTAATGGATTCAGAGGTGGTGGCCCCCAAGCAGTAAACTGCTAAGTGAATTTAATAAACATCATTCTTTTCATATAAGCAATTATGTAAATTCTAATCTAGATTTGAAATTCTGTTATAAACATATC